CTCCCAGGGTATAGTGCCAACGCGTTCGTTTGTTATTCCGAGTCTACCGATTGTTTTCCAAAACTATACTTATCATCACTGCCGTGTTTATTTAAAAGTCGTTGTTGCTCAGACAATTGATATGACCGTTTATATTTACGTAGTAACTTATCGAACGATTTTCTTTCAATTGTACAGATATGTTTCAACATCTTATGCCGGACAGATGAATTTGCATTGCAACCACTGCCGTTCTGCTCGACAAGCACTGTCCCACTGCAACTGTAGCTCAGGACACCAATGACGGTTTGTACAGTCCGTTTGAGTCAGAAACGGACTGATGAATTGCAAATTTTATCATTGTACAAAATTGCCACATAAATATAAATAGTACACATGTTTATCATTTACTACAACTACCACCCAACAGCTTTCTTTATAGTTTGAGAATTTTTCTGACTCCACCAAAAAGTTCTTCAAGAAACTATCATTAACGTGCAAGGTGTGCGAGAAAGGATGGAGACGGCACAACACAGGCTAATGAATAAATAACTTGGTGGGCACGTGCTTCTCTAACACCTGGCTGTCCCTTTCTCTGCACTCCTCCCTCGTGACAAATAGTGAACTGTGTCAAAATTTTAATGATAGTTTCTTGAAGAACTTTTTTGGTGGAGTCCGGAAAACTGTCTCATCGGTCCGTTTCTGACTCAAACGGACTGTACATAGACTTACTGGTTTTATACAGCTTCTTCGTTACTTTAGGTAAAGCGATAGTGTCTAATTCAGAGTACATGAAATTAATAAATTCGGCATATGCCCCATTAATATCATACTGGCAGACAAACTAGAATCAATGGCTTGTATCAGAGTAAGTATCTTATCACTGCAATCGCTATTAAACAGAAAGATGTCAGGAACTTTGTTTTGGATATAGCGTTTCTGAGTAAAGCTGCCACTGTCAACAATATCAGCATGAACAGAGTAGCCCTCGTCGTGTACTTGTACAGGTATACGAATATCTGGGATACAGTCTGGAACAATGCTGCCATCAATAATAGAAGACATCGTAGTTACATTAAAATCTACAAAGTGGCCTAACTGTTCATGTGTAGTGACGACATAGTCAACAACATGTGCCCCATTCTTTACATCAGTAAAATCCTGGGTACCCAAACGGCCATTTAACATGCACAGACTGCCACTAATCAAAAAAGTTTGTAAATGATTTAAACAAATTTTTATTCATGAAGATGAATTAGAACTGGTGAACAAGCATTACTGCTTATGTTAACACCGCTCCCTAGCAACGTATAATACAACATGAAATGGAGGAATTGACGTCATCGATACTAACCATTGCATAAATATAATATTTTAATATATATATAAATATATACAGATTACATGAAATACAACTATTCTCTAAGTAGTCATAAGTTAGAGAGTTACACAGTTGTGTGTGTCTAACAAGCCATTGTAGAAATATAAATCAATCATGAGAATGTTGTTGAGTAAATTTAATTATTTTCCTGAGAAAATGTGAAGCGTTGTGTCTTGGTTATATAATCGTGGACGGATTCAACTATTTTCTGGTTTACACAGGGAGTAAGTTCTTTGTTTCCCTTAAGAATGGTATCCAGGTTATAACCGGTAGTGTAAAAATATATATTAAGTCTTATCCGAGTATAGTTACGGCAAGTGAGGAAATGTGTAAGGTGTTTCCACTCTGATGTCCACAAGAACAACAAGGGCTGTTATACTTATCGGCGTTTAGGTCGCTACATCCGAGCCTGAGCAGTGAACGATTTGCCAAAAACGATTGCCATAATTAAGGTCAAAGTAAATATTATTTTCAGTTTTTTTAATTAGGTCTTTAAATTTTGTGAGACTACATGACGCTTTGGAATTTGGTAGGGCATTCCATAAATTTATAGTGGCAGGTAAAAAAGGATTTGGCATAAGAGGCAGTGCGACTGTAAATTCCTTGTATTTCAGAGTTATTCCTCAAGCTGTAGTTTGTAGTTCCGGAGACGGAGTTTGGGATCAAGTCACAAAGATATTTTGGCAATTGGTTGTTGTACATCTAATAGAAAAAAGTTAACTTCTGGCAATACCTTCTATCTTGCAAGGACTGAGATTTGGTTTCATTATAAAGTTTGTTATGACTTGTGCCACGAACGGCACCACATATAGTTCTCAGAGCATCAAGATGTAAATTTTCTAATGTACGCGATTGCTAAGAAGTACAGTTATCCCAAATATGCGAACAATAGTCAAATATTGGCAAGATATAGGACTTATACATGATATCCAACGTTTTGCGTGATAATCGGTATTTAAAACTCCTCAGACAACTGATCATAGGGCGAACTTTTCGTACAATATCATTAGTGTGATCATTCCACGTACACTCGCTTTGAAGTGTTAATCCTAGATGTTTATGACTTTTGACTTCTTTTATGATTGTTCCGTCCATGAAAAGGTTCGGTTTTAGAGACGGTTTCGTTTTACGTGAGAACTGAGTAGTTTCGGTTTTATTTGGATGAAATGTAACCTGCCACTTACGGGCCCATCGTGAAATTCTATCAAGATCATTGTTAAGACAGGTAGCAACAACTGTTTGTAACTATGTCCCGATGCGCATTTTCTTTAATATCTAAAACTTCACGTTCAGGAATTTGGTCAACCCCCTGGATAAAATCAATATTGTTGCCAATACGTACATTTAAGTCGCCACACAAACAAAAGATGCCATCATTTTGATACAAATATAGTTTTTCCATTAGACTCTCAAAAACGTGCTCAGCATCATTAACCCTGGTTGAACACGACGGGGGCAAGTAACAAACACACAATAAAATAGCAAAAGACTCGTCATGGAGTGAATTCAACTTGAACCACATAACATCCTCAAGGCGTTTATCTAAAACTGTCACATTAAAATCCTGTAGAACACTGTTCTTAAAAAAGCGCCGATCCTTCCGGATCCTCGTATGTGAAGATTACGGCGGTTGTTAGAATAGAATAGAATAGAATACAATAGAATAGAATAGAATAGAATAGAATACAATACAATACAATACAATACAATACAATACAATACAATACAATACAATACAATACAATACAATACAATACAATAATACTTTAATGCCTTTTCAGGAATTTGTGTTACATCAGCAGAGCTACTGACACATTAGAGAGATACCAAACATATTTACATAAATTCTTTGATTTAGGTAACTTCACATTTGTTTAAGAGATATAAGGTACTTGGAATAAAGGATGTACGGGCTCTCTTAGTTTTCACAATTGGAACTTTGTAGCGGTGGCCTGAAGGGAAGAGGTTGTATTCCGAATTTAAGTAGTGAGTACGGTCAGATATGATTTTGACAGTTTGATTCACGGTTTGCCGCTCATATATTGATGATAAAAATCTGACTCCAGTGATTTTACTTGCAGTGTTAACAATTTTGTCTATTTTAGATTTGAGATGAAGTGAGAGAGACCCGTACCAACAATGGAAGGAAAATGTTAAAATACTCTGAATAAATGCTACATAAAAAGATGACATCACAGATGGGTTAACATTTAAAGATCACAGTTTACGCTTGAGATGAAGACGTTGTTGACACTTTTTGTATAGGGCTTCAGTATTAGAGTTCCAGTTCAGCTTAGAAAGTCAATGAAGGTTCCCAAATACTCCGACACTGTCTCAACACATTCATTGTTGATTATCACTGGAAGCATTTCTGTGGGTTTACTCCGAAAGTCAATTATCAGTTCCATATTACCATACGAGGTATACCCCTCAACCGAGAGTGTAGAGTTGCCCCTAAAAAATGTCTCGCATACACCCAAAGTGTCAAAATCAGAGTCGATAACAACCGACTGCCTAAACACAGAGTTGCTACATACGTTCTCAGCCCACCCACCCGTATTCCAGAAGCCGAGCCACTGTCTGTCCTAGGCCTTACTGTTACACGTTAACAGACGTTTTCCATGAAAGCGATAAGAACGAGCCTTTATAATCTTCTTTAATAAAGTCTGCATATTCGATCTCTCGATCAGCCCGTCCTTGGAGAGCGCGGCGTCGATGTAAACTTTTGTGAAGTCTTTACTCTTCTTTACTCTCACGTAACTTGTATGGTTTGGATGACGGGTGAGAGTGAAGCAGACGACTTTTTGGCATAAACTAACCAGCCAAAATGGAGTCAACAAACCTTCACAACTTATTTATACTTACTTCATGGTGGTAACTGAAAGCAAAGAACTACGAGAAAACCCATGGCTGGTAAAAGTTAAGGATATTTTACGTAGTATCGCATTACCGATAGTATGTATTCAAAAACCCGTCCTCCTGTACAACTCTGTGGCTAGCCGCGTCACAGGTAGAACACATACTTAAAGACTAATTTATTCAAAAGTGGAGAAATGACGTTGTTTCAAGCCCCAATACCTTAAACAGCATCCACTATTTGACACATACCTATCTCTCCCTAAGCGAATATCAATTCCATTGCTAAGATATGTTACATCAAATCACAAATCTACCAATAGAAACGGGATGCGGGGAGAACATAACTATGCTGTGATAGAACTTGTAAACTCTGCCCATCAACATCTATTGCTGATGAATTTCATTATATTTTTGAATGGTCAAATCTTTGGGACGCTAGGAATATGTATTTATCAACCCCCATAATGAAATATCCAAGTCTGCCAATTTTCGGGTTAAATTATTCTCGACAAATGATACTTAAAAATTATCAATTTATCCAAATTTGTGTAAAAAGTAAACCCAAGTACAAAATATTGAATTTTTGATTTGCTTATAATGTTGTTTATGTTTTTTCATAATCAGCAATGTATTTTATATGTCATGAATAAGTGATAATTGTGTTTTAATTATGTTTGATTTTTTGGTTGCATGTGACCTTTAATTTATAAATCTACATAGTGCGTGGTTGACATCATAGTATTGATTAGGTGATGAATGATCTCTGAACCCTAGGTTGTGGCAACGTGAAGGATCACAGTAAAAACAGACTGGCCCCCGGCCTCTGTTGAAGTGTCTGCCTGGTTCCCAGGGTATTCTGCGCTGGCGCTACACTGCCTTCGCTACTATGAGGGAACCGCCAGGGGACCAGGTCGTTGAGGAGAAAGCAGAAATCCAGACCTTTCTAAAAATAGCTACAGACGCGCTTGCAACGGATGTAGTAAAATATTTCAGCTTCACACCGAAGCCGGGAAGCTGTACACAGTGGTGGCACTCGAACGTAAGTAAATGCTGCAGCAGATAACAATTCGAAGGTAGACCTTTGAATAACATCCAATCTTGGAATTGTGTCTCGTTTGTTTCTATACCATTGTCCGTATCGATATGGTTCACTCTCACTTAGCCAGTCTACCCAAAAATGATAAGACAACATTGCACTATGGCTATAGTTTGGCATGAAATGCATGTGGACCCGTTTTTTTTGTAAATATCTCTTCATCCAATGACCCAATCGATCTCAAACTGTGCAAGTGGATGTTTTGTCAGACAACCTAATCACAATGTAAATCACCAATTTTATGCATTTGTATGAAAGGATCTGTCTATGTAACTGTCAACAAAATATACAGCAGAACGCAGAATGCTTGCAGAGGGAGGGAGCCAATGACCTGTAACAGCAGCAGTGTTGGGTCATAAAGGTCAACGTTCGTCAATGTAGCTCAGCTATGCACGTGACAGGTATGAAGAGGTGTTCATTTCTAGCAACTAGTCGGCAAATGCCATCTCTGATGACCCTGATTTCAAAAGAATCTTAACTTTGGATACCTACCTTTGTACGTTTCATGTAATCCGACACCTTATAAATCGGTTTGCTACGTTTGCTCTCTTTTTCAAAAAAATTCAACACATTTCTATTTAAACGTGTAGCATCATCTGAATAAGCTTTCATGATGAAAGCTAGAAGTAGTCAATGTGAATGATCCAAACGGTCTATCACTGTGCAGTGCACAGGTAACTATCATGAACTGCACGTGCATTGACCTTTATGACCGTACACTGCTGCTGTTACACGTCATTGGCTCCCTCCCTCTGCAAGCATTCTGCGTTCTGCTGTTTATTTTGTTGACAGTTACATAGACAGATTCTTTCATACAAATGCATAAAATTGGTGATTTACAATGTGATTAGGTTGTCTGACAAAACATCCACTTGCACAGTTTGAGATCGATTGGGTCATTGGATGAAGAGATATTTACAAAAAAACGGGTCCACATGCATTTCATGCCAAACTATAGGTGATGATGATGATTATAAGTTTTACGGTTTTATGGTTTAATAAGGGATAAACCACCATACCCAAAAAATGTAAATGATGGGGCGTTAACCTATATAGAATTTAAGACAGAAAACGTTTAAGAAACATGGAAGGAAAATAAATGAAAAGCCGATGTTATGAAGGGAAAGAAGTAAAACAAACCCAGCAGTATTTGTTAATAAAAGAGAGATAGTGTTAAAACTAAATCATAGATGTAAATGGGGACCATGCATAAGGGCGTGGTGGGAATGGGGGAGAGGAGGGGGTGGTGGTGGGTTAAGTTACCGCGGACCACGTAGCAGATATAAAGCGCTATGGATAACTGAATTGAGTCCCAGGTCTAAATGAATACAGTATAGAACAAGTTTTATAAATGAGTAGGCTTATATTGGTGATATAATGATAGAATGGATAAGTGAAATTTTGAAGCCTGTTTTAAATGTAAGAGCTAGGAAATAGTGGTGTTGTGAAAATTTGTTTGGGGAGTTCTAAATTTTATGAAGTAAGTTAGAGATTTGTAGGAAGGTGGCTATGGCTTGAAAGATAATAGGCGGATTGTGGGGGTTGAGGGGTAGATGTATATTATTGTGGTATTTTGTGGGAATGTTGCTATGAAGTTGCTTAATATTTGTTTATTGTAGGTGGCGATATGTAAATATGTCGTTTATGTCCTATTGTGTATTGCAGTGTGTGCATCTGGGTATCTAATTTGTTTGTAAAGTGTGTAGTTTAAGTTTGTGATGCCTGTAATTAGTCTGTTTATAGCCCTGTCAATATTTTTGATGTTTGAATATGTGGGGATTTTTCTTATTGGAGATTCTATAATAGATGTGACCTAAGATGATTTGTTTGTGTTGATGTTATGTTTGTTTTAATGAGTTGTTTGATTTCTGTTTTGGATGTTTGAAAGTTTGGTGATATGTGGGATGTGGCGAGTTTGGCTGCTGTGTCATTGTGGATGAAGTCTGGGCGTGATTTGGAGTGCATGTTGTGTAGTTTGATGGAGTTGAGTGAGTCGGTTAGGATAAGGAAGTTTGTTTTGGGGAGAGAGGGTATTAAGTGCAGTGCAGTGAGGATGGCTCTTAGTTCTGCAGTGTTTATTGTTGTGTGGTTGGTACAGTGGAAGTTGGTTGTAATGGGGTGTGTGTGTGTGTGCGCGTGCACGCACGCGTGTGTGTGTGTGTTGTTGCACATGTATGCCTAGGCCTGTGAGTTTGTTTGGGTTGATTGATGCATCTGTGTATAAGTGGGTGTGGGTGGGGTAGTTTGTGTTTATGTAGTTGTTTGTAATGTTAGTTATGGTAGATCTGTGGGTGTCTTTAGGTAGATGTTTGAGGGTTGTGTCTAGGGTTGTGTCTGTGATGGGTGGAGGTTTGCCGTGAATGTAGCTTGTAATGGGAGGCGAGTGTTGTATGGTGTTTAGCTGTTGTGCATGTAGCAGACTGTATAGGTAGGGCAGCCATGAAGCTTTAGATGGGTTAGATTTGAACTGTTTGAGTGGTGATTTTTTAATGTTGTTGCATTTGTTTGAGATTAGCTTAAATATAGGGGTGTGTTGGGCCCCAGCCCAGTAGGTGAGTGTGGTTTGGTTTATTCTTTGTGTGATTGAAGGGGTGCCTGTGAGTAGAAGTAATGTATTAAGAGAGGTACCTCTTCTCGCGCCGTGGGGTAATTTGAGGGCTTTAAATTGCACTCAATTGAGTTTTTGTAGGTTACCGGGGGAGAGGTTGTGGAGGACCAGGGCGGCATAGTCCAGTCTCGACAGCATAAGAGTTTTGTATATGTTGGTAAGTGTGTGTTTGTCGGCACCCCAGGTTGTGCTGCTGATGGTTCGCATTAAGTTTAAATCCTTTTGACATGAATTAACTAAGCTTCTTTTTTTAATAATGTGTAGTTTGGGGTGTAATTTTGCATATACTATGTCATAATATGGTGGTCAAAGGTTACCATTTTGGGCCTAGGATGAAATTTAGCTTTTTGGATGCCTGTTTGAAAGTGGAAGAGGTCCAAAAGAAAAGCAAATTTGCTGAAATCGATGAAAATGGCCATGGTGCATTGTTTCTTTGTAGTAGCCTGTGCTACTTTAATATCTTGTTACAAATGTAAAATGGCCATGGTGCATTGTTTCTGTGCCTCTATAGTATGTCGGTTTCTGTAGTATGTCGGTTTGGAGTAAAGCCGCTCTGGTCCTCTTTGATTAGTTTATTGGTTTGAATGAGGTGTTTGAGCCTGTTATTTATAATAGTTTTGAGAGTTTTGCAGAGGTGGGAGGTGAGAGATATGGGACGGTATGGGTGGTGTTTTGGAAGGAGGGTGGGTAGTTGGTGGAGCTGCTTGTGGCCGAGAAGTGGGTAGCAAATGCATTAGTTTTGTCTTTGTTTGTGGCTAAGGCTGGAGTTGGGTGAGATAGGTTTTTCTTAAATGCCCTTTATGGCTTTAGATTTATTCCACATAGTCCTGGAGTTTCGATGAGATTGCTTTAGGGTAAAACAGAAATTTCTCCAATTTTTTATTTTTGCTGCCTTGATAATTCTTTTAGTTTTATTTCGTAGTTGTTTAGCCAAACATAATTGTGAACGGTCCCCTTTTGATTGATTAAGGGCCTTTGTTTCTAGCCTTTCTGGCATTGATGATTTCTGTGCTCCACCATGGGACTGTTTTTTGTGCAGGGTTGAACCGAAAAGTGGGAATGCATTTATCTGTGATGTCTAGGACTGACTGACTGAGTTTAGTTTCACGCCACTTTTAGCAATATTCCAGCAATATCACGGCGGGGGACACCAGAAATGGGCTTAACACATTGTGCACATGTGGGGAATCGAACCCGGGCCTTCGGCGTGACGAGCCAACGCTTGAACTACTAGGCTACCCCACAGCCCCGTGATGTCTAGGATGGTGTTTGTAAGGTTGCTGTTGAATGTGTTAATATCTAAGCTGTAGATGTTTTAGGGGTCTACTTGTTTACATAGTGTAGTGAATTTGTACCAGTCTGCTTTCTTGATATTGTATCTGGTTTCTGTGGGTGTGGGAGGGGGTGTGGGTGTGGTGGGTGGAGGTGTGTGGGTGAAGTTGGGGTGGGGATGTGTGAGGTGATAGTGATTTTGATGGGGCAGTGGTTGCTGCCCCAAGTGTCATTGTGTACCTCCCAGATACGAGCTTGTGTGAGATTGGGTGTGGTGAGTGTGATGTCAATGGCTGTGGATGAATGGTGGCGAGAGAGGGGGTAACGGGTGGGTTGGTTATCATTTAGGGATGTGAGCTTGTGTTGGTGTAGCCAGTCGGCGAAGCGGGTTCCATTGATATCAGTGTTAGGTCTTGTGCCCCACAGTGGGTGGTGTGCATTAAAGTCTTCGAGTAAAATAGTGCCGGGGCCTATGAATTTAGAAATTATGTCCAAATCTTGGTGAGTGATTTTAATGCTGGGTCTTCTGTAGACGTTGATAATGGTAATTTCTTTGTTGTTAAGTTTAGTGTTAATAGCCAGGACTTCTAAATCTGTAACGGAAATTGCAAAATGTTGTAATTTAATTTCTCTGTGATGAAAATGCCCACGACCCCATCAAGGGGGCCTGGGTAATTAGGTGGCCGAGGTCTGTCTTTCCAAATGTAATTATAGCCTGGTAATTTGAAGGTGTTTTGGGGGGATAATCTTGTTTCTTGCAGAGCTATAATATTGGGGGGAAATTTTGTTTTGGGCGATGAGTGCCTTAAGCTCATGCCCGTGTGCCCGGAGACCGTTGCAATTCCACTGTATTAACGCCATGGTTACAGTAATTACGAAGAGAGATTAATAAGTACCATGGGATGGGGCATGAATTTTGAAATAAGGGAATTAAGTGCTAGTGTAGCTCAGTTGTGTTTGGTTTAGAAAGGGTTTTTAAGGGCTATTAGGAGGCTTGCTAGACTTTTGAGATACAGTTTGGATGCTCATACCATTAGAAGTACACACACAAAATATGTTTTCTTACAAACGTGTTTACCAGATTCTAATATATCATCATGTAATCAAATACATGACACAAGGCAATAATGCAAAAAAAACCAATAAGCAAATACATCACTCATTCATACCCGACAGGAGAGTGTACTTGTTACAGGATTGTGATACCTGAGGCAAGCAAATATAACTCATTTAAATATATACATATGTCACGTGACGGAGAATTGTTCAGACACAGCAATTAACTTGTACAATGCAAGGAAAGGTTTACTTCATTGTGTGATATATAGAGAATACTACACGAGGTCTCATTACATATGAATTATACGAAACGAGTGTCCTTCCTATGGTATCTGACCGAGCGAAATGACGTCACTGCCTTGGTAACCGACGTCACGATTCATGTCAGTTGTCATCGCCTCGTACAGCTTCCTACAGTAAACTACTCCGTAGCACCTCTTTTCTGGGTTTCCAGTTGCTTCATTCGGCTAACAATACTAACATCACTAGTGGAAACATTGCGTTTATGTTTTTTCGGCGGATATAATGTCTCAGTTGTACTCACAATTAAACAGCGACACGGCAACGTTCGCAATGTTTACATTCCCACAATGCATTTAAGTTGCAGAATGAATGAAATCACGTGTTTGTTATGAATGAAAAAATAGTTACGTCAGAATGTGACCTAATTGAGAGGTCATCGGTTATCCAGTCAAATCGTTATAATCTCAGGTCAAGTCGTTACGTTACGACACAGGTCAAAGCGATACGACACTCGTGTGACGTACGAGATTAGTATGCAACTACCCATACGTTGACCATGTGGGTAATAAATATAAATATGCATAATCCAAGCACACTTGTAGTATAAAGTTATATAGGAAAGGACAAACTTCGTGGATGAACAACTTCTTTATTCGGATGATGCGACGTTTTGATACAAATTATTGTATCGTTGTCAACTGGACATAATATAATACACAATACAGGCAACCAACCAACCTGACTTCACCAAACAGAAGTTAATTGAAGCCATCCACATCAAACGACACCGACCCCTGATCAACAGAGATCATTGTTATTTTATCTCCTCTATAAACCATGAACTCATCAACCACCCCTGACTGCTTATATACTTGTATAAACATGTCCAATCTCTCCTGCTCTGTACATCCCACTGGAGAAAAAAAAATGACAACGATACAATAATCTGATTCAAAACATCGCATCATCCAAATAAAGAAGTTCATCTGTAAACTTTGTCCATATCTGATTCACCAACTTCTAAACATGCCACTCAAAGAAGTTAAAGTTATAAATAAAATCATCACTCATACACACATTCTTGCATATGAGCATTCATACCTTTGCTAATTACACTGTCATACATACTTTACTGATAATGCTTACTTATGATATTTATTTATGTTATTTATGCATTAATAAAAGTATATAGCAATAATGTACTACATTTACTATATCAAATGGCATAAATGACAAAAAGATGGAATGACCTAATTTCCCTATGACCTTGTAATGGAATGATCCATAACAATCAGAGACCTGCATTAAGCCTTTAAGATACAACTTACTGACAACTGTTTATTGTGAACTATCAGTGAAAGAGTGTTGGGCCTAGGAGGTATTATTTTCAGCAATGCAAGCAGGTGTGGATGTTGTATCAGCCGTGTGTTTACTGTAGAAAAGAATGAAGAAAAGAACTATAGACACAAACATGGGCGGTTTTACACAACGGTGAATAACGTTGATTGTTACATTCAGTGAAGGAAAACATCATCTTGAGAGAGAGAGAGAGAGAGAGAGAGAGAGAGAGAGAGAGAGAGAGAGAGAGAGAGAGAGAGAGAGAGAGAGAGAGAGAGAGAGAGAGAGAGAGAGAGAGAGAGAGAGAGAGAGATTTTCATGAATTCATTCAAACATACAACACAATAGTATTTACAAACAGGACAATGTTTTTCATAGTTCACAATTGATATGTATATAATGAAACATTCACAAAGGGATGGCGTCACTTGTGCCTCCATTAAAATACAAACTCAAGATATTGTTTCAAATGATGGACATAGTTTGCAAAGTTTTTAATGACAGCATGGTATGTGTCCCGCACTAGGGGTCGTGTGAACTGTGTATCTGCACCTTGGAGAGTTGACAGCATTTCGTCGTCTTCCAACATTTCAAACTTTACATAGGTTTCAACATCAAGTAGATCAATCAGAGATGAGAAAAAGTTATTTCGAGACCTAATAATTTTTCAGTATGTAGTATGACATGGTTGTCATAGTCATAAGCGTGCTTGTTACAAAGCAAACATTCTTTTGAGATTTTATTTCGTGATGAAAGTTTCAAACATAATTGCAAGGCTGTTCTGTGTTCAGTGTATAAAAAATGCTAAGTTCAAAAGTATGTGATATGTCAGTGATGTATGAGCTCGCATGTAACGAGACACTCCTGCATTAAGTGATACTTTGTTACGCCACATGTGCTCTTCATATTCTTGGTACGTGTTTGTTTATAATTCGTCTCCACTGGTGTTTGGGGAAATGAACCACTGTATAAGTAAGTATGAAGTAGTTTCTAAGGTTGTATTTGCACAAAACAGACTGAAGATCTCCACAAATAGTTGATTTTCGGGGTGTATTAGCCATGGAAGCACAGAATATGTGTTTTATGAGATTGTTACAACTAGTGTTGCATAAAGAGCCAAAGAACTGGAGTTTACTTCTATCAATGTAGCCAATCATGGTCCACAATCCTCAGTTTGCAATAGTGGATTCAGACGGAGATCTCTTATCTAGTCCCAGCAATATTCCAGCCACATCATGGCCCGCGGGGACACCAGAAATGGGTCACACAATGTACCCATGTGGGGATTCGAACCCGGGTCTTCGGCGTGACAAGCCCACATTCTTTAACCACTAGGCTACCCCACCGCCCCTCACCACTATAAATCTGGTGACTTGAAAAGGACATGCTCTGTCATCATGGAATCAAGAGTATCAGTGTGCTGAATGTCAGAAAACATTCACACCATCAGCTAATCTTCAGTCACACATGAATATTCACAGTGGCATCAAGCCTCATAATTGCATCGTATTTGATAAAAAAAGTTACACAATCTGTTCATTTACAGGTACACATGAAGATTTACAGTGGAATCAAGCCTTATAAATGTTGAATGTGGGAAAGAATTTACACCATCAAGTAGTCTGCAAACACTCATGTGGATTCATATTGAATCGCTTCCAAGGAATGTGCTCAATGTGGGGATGTGTTCAATGTGGAGAACAATTACACATTCAACAAGTATGGAGAGAGAGATGAGGATTCACAGTGAATCAAGCCTTATGAATGTGCTTGAATGTGGGAAGCAATTTACACACTCAGGTAATCTGCAGACACACATGAGGATTCACAGTGGAATCAAGCCTTATGAATGTGTTGTGGGAAGCAATTTACACACTCAGGTAATCTGCAGACACACATGAGGATTCACAGTGGAATCAAGCCTTATGAATGTGTTGAATGTGGGAAGCAATTTTGGCACAATTAGGTACTCTGCAGACACACATGAGGATTCACAGTGGAATCAAGCCTTTATGAATGTGTTGAATGTACTTGGAAGCAATTTACCCACCTACAGGTACTCTGCAGACACACATGAGGATTCACAGTGGAATCAAGCCTTATGAATGTGTTGAATGTGGCAAGCAATTTACCCACTCAGGTACTCTGCAGACACACATGGGGATTCACAGTGAATCAAGCCTTATGAATGTGTAGAATGTGGCAAGCAATTTACACAATCAGGTACTCTGCAGACACACATGAGGATTCACAGTGGAATCAAGCCTTATGAATGTGTAGAATGTGGGAAACAATTTACATACTCAACTAAACTGCAGAGACACATGTGGATTCACAGTGGCATCAAACGTTATGAATGTGTTGAATGTGGGAAAGAATTTGCACACTTTATAGTCTGCAGAGACACAAGAGGATTCACAGTGGAATCAAACCTTTTGAATGTGTTGAATGTTGGGAAAATTTTACACAATCAACTAAACTGAAGAGACATATGAATGTTCACAGGAATCAAACCTCATCAGTGCATTGTATGTGAGAAAACATTTACACTACCATCTGAACTTCAGAGGCACATGAGGGTTCACACGGGAATCAAGCCTTATAAATGTATTGAATGTGGGAAAACATTTACACAATCAAGCAGTCTGCAGACACACATGAGGATTCACAGTGGAATCAAACCTTATGAATGTGTTGAATGTGGGAAAAAGTTCACACAATCAGGTCATATGCAGACACACCTTAAGATTCACAGTGGAATCAAGCCTTAAGAATGTATTGGATGTGGGAAACACTTTACACAAGTACTCTTCAGAAATACATGAAGATTCACAGTGGAATCAAACTTCATCAGTGCATTGTGTGTCAGAAAACATTTAGACTATCAGGTTCAGGGACACCTGAGGATTTTACAGTGAATCAAGCCTGGTGAATGTGTTAAATGTGGGGAAAAATTACACAATCTGGTAATCTGCAGGCATTCATGGGGATTCACTGTGGAATCAAGCAGTAAAGATTTATTACTGTGTTGGAGTTTGGGGAAAGGATGTACCCTGCAAGCACCCTCTTCAGAAATACATAAGAATTCAAGGTGGAATTTTTTGTCTTATCAATGTGTTGAAAGTGGAAACATTTGCACTGTCATATACTCGTAGACTCAACTGATTGTTGAGATGAAATGTTATGTATATATTACAGTGCATATATACTGAACAGCAAAGAAACGCAAGTCTGGCTTTTTGTTAATAGAAGATAACCAAAATCATGTCTAATCATTTATTCTATAGAAAACACTGTCAATTTATCAGCTGAAAAGTTGCTGCTGACATTGAATTGCAATAAGTTCAAATTGATCACAGTCCGTCAAATGGAGATACCCTGAACGCGAAAAGTGACAGTCTCATTAGTAGCACGTATCGCCACCTTGAGCTTGCACACAGGCCGTGCAACATGGCCTCATTGAGTCTCACTAGAGTCTGAAAGAATGCCTGAGGTAATTGGTTCCACACAAACACCAATCTCTATTCCAATTGTGCAAGTGTGAGTGGCTGTCGACCTGCCCCAATCCTCCATCCAATTTTGTCCCAGAATGTTCAATGGGAGCCATATCCGGGAAAGAGATGGCCTTGGAAAAATATTAATGTTGTTCTGAGCCAGATAATCCATTGACACCCATGCTGCGTGAGGGCTGCAAACGTCGTGGCGTTGTTGACGTGGCAAAATTGGCCCAACATATGGCCTTCGGTGCAGTGGATTCCAGCAGCCCGAAGACGACGCCTAATCGTATTGCTGGACACTGCTCCCCTTGACCCAGGAACTAAGGCTGCTGTTACTGTTGCTGCTTGAGTTCGGTTCCTTAGATGAGTGACCAGGATGAGCCGATCTTCCGTTTAAGATGTCACTCGTTGTCGGCACGGGGACGATCAGCAGCAACCCCGGTTTGCTGATGACATTGAGCAAGTCGTGTAATGGTGGTAAGATGACAGCCCAATTGTCTAGCTACAGCGGTTGCAGAGCGACCTCCTTGCAACTTTCCAATGGCTATTCCCCTGCTCAGTCGTTAGTCTAGGCATCGTTTGTTTGGCGTGTACACCTCCTGGCGTCAATACTGAACTGTTTTCTGACACAAACCTTTATAAAGGATACCTCAGAATAATGCATGCATTCCACCCAGAACCGTTGATGCACATGCTAAAATTATAGTTTTGCTGCATTGTTGGTGTTTGTGGGAATGGTTCGTATGGACGTACAATTGCATGACATCATCTCATCTGGAATCATTAGGTCCCTTTACCATGAACGTTCCATAAACATGAACGCTTACCTTCATGGAATTTCATTTTTTCGAAACTTGTGTTTCTTTTGCTGTTCAGTATATTTCCTTATACACTTTTATATATTTCACAAATTATTCTTTACAAAATGAAATTTGTATATGTGCAAATCGCTGTGCATAGTGTTTCTTGTTTATAGCCCTACGGCAAGGGCAGCAGTAGTCAATTAGGAACACGTCCACCCAACCATTCACTAATTAATGGAGGATAAAGTCAAACATTCAGGTCATGTGCGGGCACACCTGAGGATTCACAGTTGAATCAAGCCTTATGAATGAGGGAAATACAATTACACATTCATGTTCTCTTCAGACACACATGTCAGCATATGGTACACAATGCATCTGGAACTTTAAACTTTAAAGAAATTTGATAGGATACACAAGTAGAGCTGTGAGGTATAAAATCTTGAGTTTCCAACTCAGGCACACTTTGCTTGAATAAACCCAAGGAATTCACAGCTCTCCCTTCTTGTTTCAAGGTAAGAAACATTTAAACTCTATTCTTGTTTATGTCTGACTTGTTATTTTCTTTGTAAATATCGTTTAGAAAATGTCAGAGATAAGTTTGATACATTCCTACGATATTGAAGCATTCTTCGAAATACCTGCCATTGTAAATGCTAGTTCAAAATTACTTTCTGTAAGCAGTTACCGTACATATTTTGTTATACCATACATTGCTAATATTTCCTGACTTAGATTGAAATTGTAATAGGATATCAATGATTACTTTTGTATGTCATTATTATGTATGAATTGATGCATTTGGAATGGCATGTTAGACACTTGCTTGAATAAACCCAAGGAACCCACAGCTCTCCCTTTCTTGTTTCAAGGCTTGCTTCTAACAGCTTCTTGCTTCTAATTCCCAAATCGGGGCCTGACAGCACCTTTAGGGAGGTCATCTTAACCCGCGCAAAAACTCTTTAATTGCTTAGCAAGGTGTAAGACTGATTAAAGTTCTCCAGTGTTTCTCCAGTGTTAGACCGCCTCCGTGGTGTAGTGGTTAGAGCGTCCGCCCGGAGAGCGGAAGGTCGCGGGTTCGATCCCCGACCGCGTCATACCAAAAGACGTTAAAATATGGTACTTGTTGGTCCCTGCCTGGCGCTCGGCATTAATGGGTACAACAAGGACTGGTCGGCTCGGAGTCAGTATAATGTGTCTGAGTGGGGTATTCATGCTTCACTGCGGCATGGTATCTCAGTGGGCTAGCACTATAAAACCAGCTTAAGTCTGGGCTAGTACAAGCAGCCGCACATACACATACACACGCATGCACGTCGTCATATGAGCGAAATATTCTCAAGCACGACGTTAAACCCAATTTCACCTCACCTCACCTCATCTCCAGTGTTAATCTGGGGTAACTTGTGGCAATTCAGTGCATACAGTCCAAACGTACATAACTTGGACAAGGTGAAACACCAGAACTATGTGCTGAAACACACATCTTGTTGAGCATCCCACTGCCAATGTACCTTTCCGCTTTATTAAGTGAGTTTTGTTTTACACCACTTTTGGCAGTATTCCAGCTATATCATGGCGTTGGACACCAGCCATATGCTTGTCACATCGCAACCATGTAGGGAATTGAACCCGGTCTTTCTATTTCACTGCTACTGTTGCATGATGAAAATGCACTTATTCCTAACTGAAACGGTTAAACAAACTTTCATGACATCACTTTGAGACTGCCAACTGGAGTATGCCACACCGGGGAAACAGTCAGTATATAGAACTTAGTTCAACCAAAATAAGTCATGTCAGAATGAGCCATCTTTGGTTAATGGTTGATTAGGATTACTCCTTGGTCAGCATGGGTTCAAACTTGTCAGTCAAGGGTTTAGATCACAGTCGAGTGTCCTGTTACCTTTCTCCACTACAGTGCTTTGTGTATTTCCACGGACTCACCATGGATTAAAACGGATGTGTGTGTGACAAATGACGTGTGTGTAATAAATGATATATGTGACAAATGACTTGATATATATACAAGCTATTATCGTCTCATAAATTTTACATTGAGAAAAATGGAGTTCTCCACACTGTCGATCATCACACAGCAGGTCCTCTAACCGTCGATCATTGACCAGCAGCACCAGTTCTCGAACTGTTGATGTCATGTCAAGGTGTCGCGACATCATGTCCACTTGTGTGTAAAATATACAGCTGGGTTTTATCTGATGTGGCCCCTTTTTATCTACAGGATTTAATTTAGTATATTTACATTCCGCAAGGGGCGTCAACTAATCCAGACAGTAAGTAGTAGTAGTAGTAGTAGTAGTAGTAGTAGTAGTAGTAGTAGTAGTAGTAGTAGTAGTAGTAGTAGTAGTAGTAGTAGTAGTAGTGGTGGTTTAAACATATTTATTTCCAAAAGAGGAACCGGATTGGTAAACAAGCAGTAAGGTGCCTATCTGAATACCGCTCCGGAATACAGATATATTATAGATATAATAATCGTACGGAGAAAAACATGATATTAACAAACGATAAACAATAGCTTTCTGGAAATGTAACAATCATAAACTGTAACATAGCCGCTTTTAACGTTACAACCATTAGTGTCGGAAAATATACTTAATAGTAAGTGCAATTTCATTTTTATATTACAACACAAATCTGCCCGACAGTACAATGAAAGAATGGATAGATTCTAATAATTCAAGATTACCTTTAGTCGATCCATGAAAGTGGCCGTAAAGTATTGATTTGATGTCATATCCTTTAGTATAGAAGTGCATTTTATGTCTTATGTCAGTGTAATTAACGCATGAAAAGAAATAGTGAATTGGATCTTCGTAACAGTAGCCACAAGAACAAGAGGGATTTGAAGATATAAATCGTTGATATTTATGTGCGTTTAAATCGCTGCAACAGAGCCTGAGGCGTGAATGGATAAGCTGACAGAATCTTGTTCCAAAGCTTAAATTGAAGTAATTTTGACTATTATTACTATTTGACCCATTAATCTGTTTCTTAAAACTACCCAAAGTAGCCGTTAATCGGTAGACAAACAATTCCACAATCTTACTGTATCTGGGAGAAATGACTTAGCATAACTTGCACTTTTACTATCGATAGTTTTGAGCTTCAAACGGTCTCGGAAAATGTAGCTTGTTGTGTCAGATCCCTTAGGAGGACGAGATCGCTCAGATATTTTGGAGTTAAATTATTAACCATCTTATAGAAAAACGTTAGTTTTGGATGTATCTTCGAGTACATAGTGGTTGGAAATTTGTCTCATCATATACATGTATTTTGTTGTGACTCGTGCCGCGAACAGC